CCATTTTTTGGTAAAGGAAAAGATGATTGTGATGGCAGTGGTGATCCACAGGTCAACCTTGTATGACCACTCTCCTTGCACCGACTACATGTCGATATCCTCTTCTCTTCACCCTTAGACGGTATACGATCGTGATTTTTTGGTCGGCCAGGTAGCCTGCTGTCCATGACTAGTGGCAAAACTGTTTGTAAGTCATCTGGTATGTCCCACTCAGAAGGATGTGGACATGGGTAGACAATCTCGGCATAAGTCTGTCGATATACTTCTGTAGTGTAGTAATCCATAGTGTATGCGCTTGAATCATCTTGGTTTAGATGAAGAGCAACTTTTATAACATGGCCACACGGATAACCAGATGCTTTCCATTTCTTACAACTATACGTCTTTGCATTTAGATCGACAAGCCCATTTAAATTATTATCCAATACTTCAAATAAAGTGTTTGAACATGGTTCAACTCTCCAGGACGTTGACTTCACAACTCATTTCGTTATCTTTTTTTCAGTCCATGGTGTAACACGACGTTTCAATGTTCCTGTAAATTTAAATAAATAATACTTAGTAAAATATATGATAAGTTACGAATTTAAAGAAATAATACCTGCATGGTTTCTTTTATTGTAGTACCACTGTTGAATAGAGGCTCGAAAAAACTCTATTAACATAGTAATGGGTAATTTCCAGGAATGATGACTTAGAGCGTTAATTGATTCTGCACTATTAGACATCATGAAACCATATCTTGCTCCAAGTTGATGTACTCTTGACCATCTTTCAAACCTGACATCTTCTAGTGTTTGAGCACATTGAGGCAAAACACGTCTTAAACAATTTATATGCTTATTAAAATCACTTCCCGATAAGCTTTTACAGCCTTCCAGTATGTCCATTTGTGATTTTTTATACCAGCAGACATTGATTTTAGATTTCTGTACAAATGAACACCACAAAGTCCATGAAAAGCATCTGGGAAACACCTTCTAACAGCGTTGTCAATTGAGTTTGCCCTATCGGATATGATTGTCAGATTGTTAATATGACCTATGCAATCCCTAAGATACCCCATAAACCATGTCCATGAATCAGAGGTTTCAGATTTGCCAACCCCGTAAGCTATTGGCAGTATCCCATTATTAGCATCCATGGCTACTGCTAATAAGTTTACTCCAAGGTATCGAACTTTCAAATGTTCTCCATCAACTATAATAACTGGGAGCATACAAGTAATAAACGAATGAATCTACAAAATCATATACATAAGAAATATAATCATTTAAATGTGAAATGCATGCAACTAACAAAAATGAGTCAACAAAATTATAATTATTTACTAACCGTAGAACCAATGGTGATAAACAGCAACTCAAAGCGTCCATCTCTATCTGTTTTGATATGAGTTACCGACCTAGGATTTTTCAGCTTTAAATTGTGATAATAAGCCGACAGTTGTGCAAACAATGCTTCTGGCGACCCCCTCAACAATTCCAAGGCATAAAATTTGGCTCTTCAAGCTTGAGAATATGAGATACTAATCTTGTACCGAGCATTCATGTCATTCATAATTTCATGTCCCCGATATACCCTTCCATTCAAAAACATTAACTCAGCCATAAAACCACCCAACACCTTTTTGTTTGCCTGTCTATGGTGAGGAAAAGCTTGGGTTCTTGAACATATATGTTTATCAATAAAAGTCCTAACTTGAAACATTTCACAATCTTTTATCCTCTTAGCAATCATACGCCACGTACAGTTTTTGTCAATCATACACCTTGTTTTGAAATGATCTTTGCTTGATTTGTTAACTCTTAGTTGATAGCCATCTTCCACACATTTCGTATACAAAGCTATATTCAAGTCTTCCTTTGTATCAAAACAATCATCTTTCTTGATACGAATAACTTTTGTGTAACAATCAACTGATATCTTTACCAACTCTTCTTCCGGTATCTAAAGTAATTCTGGCATATTCCAGTTATACTCTCGTGGCATTTTCTTCTTTTTCCTTTCTTCGGGGACTTATTCTTCTTCTTCTTCTTCTTCTTCAGGGTTATATGAATTACAGAATAGATGTTCAACATGTTCATTCACAGTCATAACTTCCTCCTCATTATCATCAACAACATCTTCCTCGGCAGTGGTTGTTTCATCATCAAAATTCAGGTATTAACCAATATCAAAATCATTACATGCAGGGTCTGTTTCTTCTTCCATCACATCATCAAAATTCGAGTATTGACCAAGATCAAAGTCCGGGTATTAACCAAGATCAAATTTTGAATACTGACTAGTACTCACAATTTTTTCTGTTGGCTCATAATCGTCTAACTGGTCAATACGAAAACTGGAATTTGGTGCTGAAAGTTGATTGGGATTTGGATTAGGAAAAGGTTGTGGGTTTTGAGATTGTGGTTGATATTGTGTTTGGTATTAGAAATGTGGTGAAACAAAATTTGCTTGGTGATGAAATTGTAGTGGAACCATTAAATTTTGGGTTGAAGAACTTAGTTGATTACTACCCGCTAATGACCCAACTTCACTACTTCTAGGTTCAACAACATATAATGTAACATCATCTTCTTGCGAAACACTAATGTAAGCAATGAATCGTTCAACATCTTCATTGTCGGTTAACAAATAAACTTTACATTTTCTCAGATAAGATAGCCTAAATCCACTTAAAGGCTCTAAATTTAATTTCTTTGCAACACGTAACATTAGAGTTTCATAAGTTAACTTTTTTAATGACATTTTTAGTTAAAGATTCATGGGTAAAGGCACATATTGTAAAACACCATGAACATTCTCCCATGACCCTCCAAAACACAAATTTATCCAAACATGATCAACATTAGATGATTTCATTCTAAAAATTGTAAATTAATTTACTAAACAAATGAGCTATAAACTAGATATCATCACTAACTTAGAGAAAAACATACCTTTATTAAGTTGATAGTTGATAATTTGGGAGAGAAATCATTGAAAAATTATATAGAAATAAAATTACGTAAAAGAAAATAGAGATGGGGAAGGATGTCGTTGGATATAGGAACGGATGTCGCCGGAGAGAGTGATAGATGGAGATGGAATGAGTTGTGATTTAGGGATTTAGGTTATGAGTTGATGCTGGTGCGTTGTTATATACCCAAAACATTTGTGTTGCGAAACTAAAACTTGTTGCGAAATTAAATTCGCGTTGCGAATTTGAAATTCAGTTGCGAATTTGACTATCGCGTTGCGAATTTGACTTTCACGTTGAGAATTTGGAATATCGCAACACGAATTTGGAAAATTGCAACTCGAATTTGGAATATCGCAAAGCGAATTTGGAAAATCGCAATGCGATTTACATATTCGTGTTACAAAATTGGAAACTGGGTTGCGAAATTGGAATTCGCGTTGTGAATTTGAGATCGCGTTGCGAATTTGTTGGTCATTTTGGCAAATCCAAAAAAAGTTTGTTAAATTCGTATATTATAAGGCATTTTTGGTCACTGAGGTTATTTTCTCTTAATTATTTATTATAGTTCGGATTCAAGTTTTATTGTGGTTTGCATAAGGAAAGCTAATAGAGGAGGAGGAGGAGGAGGAGGAGTTAAATCGTTAAGAGTTAATGGACAATGGATTTTATTGATTTTAGATTTTTTATTTTTTAATTGTCACTTCAAACTTTCGTTAAGAGTTAATGGAAGTTAACTGCTGAAGGACTTAAATCAGACAGATCGATAACGTTAGGAACTATTTACCCTTTAGGTTTTGGATTTTGGGTTTTAGATTTTTTTAATTGTCACTTCAGACTCTCGTTAAGAGTTAACGGAAGTTAACTGCAGAATGACTTAAATCGGATAGACCGATAACGTTAGGAACCATATACCCTTAATTTTCAAATTGATGACCAAAGTCGATCAAATCAAAAAACAAAAGGGAATATTCAAATAGTTTACCTTTTATTTTTATATATGTTTAAAGACATTTTTTATATTTTCATGTTGAATTTTAATTATTTCTTTCTGTTATGTTTGTGTCATGTATTTATTTTTATGAATTAACAAATATACTATTTTGTATAATTTTTATTTATAATAATTTAATTTAAAAGACATGTTCATTCTCATGGCTCATAATGATTTTATTTTAAACTATTTATCTAATTGTTATAAATATTTAATTCAGGTAAAATACATTTATATTTTTAAATTATTTTCCCAATGATATACTTCAAAGGGTTATTGGGTTATTTTGTATATTGACTACCTGGCCAATTTAGAGTAGCCGGAGAAAATTTTATTTTTATTTTAATTTCACATAATGCATTTAAAGAGTTGACTCATGAGTATAAAAAAATTTAAATACTATAATTATTATTAATTTTAATTTTGGATGATTTATTTAAAGGGTTGATATTTGGGCTGATTTATCCCAATAAAGATAACGTGTTTTTTATTTAGCCCATTAGGACAAATCAAAATTTATTTTGGAATCTACAACATTTTTTATAGTGTTATTGGAACTCGTCATGACAATTGATGAGTTCCAATAAAAAATACTTTTTTATTCAAATAAAATATAATTTTCGAATGAGTTCGAATAAAATATATTTTTTATTAAAATATATCACATCTAGATAAAAAAATTAGAATAAAAAATATTTTATGGGCTAAATAAAAAATTCATATGAGCTAATTTAGCTTGATATTTGAATCCATTGTCAAGTCTATTTGGGAACCTAACCTCAATGATATCTCTTCCTACTCTTTTTCATAATTTAAGTGATTATAATAAGGTAATTCTTATTCAGAAGTTTTATAATGATTACAAAGAACAGATCATGTTACGAACATAACTGTTTAAACTCGAATCTTTTAAAAAAAAAATCATCCCTTTTATCATTGAATATATATATATACACATGAATCACCTACTATTGAAAAATGCCAACGAAATGTGAGATTTTTTTTTTATATACTATCAATGGCTCAACAGATCCTAACAATGGCAGGTACCCCATTGACTACAAGATATTTTCATACGATAATTTACACGACTAATACTACTAACTAAACTATACAATAACTGGTGCTCGGCATTCAATTCACGTATACAGAAATCTGTAATCAAAATTTTGTTTACCAAGGAAACCAATTGCACATGACCGCACAAAATACGACATTAGCAACTTCGGCAGGCTATTTTTTGGCGTCGGCGGGCAACTTTCCCGATTTCTTCCCAATAATCGTACCAGAAACCTGATGTTCTAACAAGCTGCATCGTTTACAAGTAACATTCCGAAACCCATCATTGCATTTTGCAAATCACCATGAACAAAAGATAGGAATTTTACTGCTGAATGAGGCACGATTTAAGCAACTTGTAAGTGAGTCTAGCACATATGTATGGTCGTGATTAATGTATTGACAAGTAATGGACTGGATTTCAACCCGTCCTTTAACAGATAGTTGGAACGAGTTATTTATCGAATATAAATGAAGAGAAAGTGAATGTAATATGTACCTGGGAAGCTTGTGACCGTGATTTCCGGTCATTGGAAAGCTCTTGTAAAACTGAACAGAAATCAAGCCTTCACTTGAGCCAACTGCAGGTGCAGAAGACCCCTCCAACATCACACTTGCACCTTGTCTGGAACATATAACTACAAGCAAAGCAATGTCAGACAGATCCAAGAAATTGCAGCTCCATAGACCTTGAATTTTGGATACACAGAAGGGGAAGACAACATTGTTTGAAACTGGATGATAAAAAATAGAGCGAAAAGCAAATAATCTTCAGGGCACCGATTTGAGTCGAAAGCATGCTTCTTTCTAGTAACACAAAACACTCAGAACAAGAACTGCAAAAGCATTATTAATGAAACTATACTTTGTCTAGCACTCATAATTCCAAGCTTATCAATAACAGCTACAAGATTTGGTGAATAAACAAGTCAATAACTACGAGAAGACAACCTTAAGCAATGTTAACTCATTAACAATTTCTTTCAATCTAAATTGCAAAATAAAAGGAAATTGGAATTGGTAATGTGCTTTATTTTACAGATGATTTTGCAGTACTTTGGAAATCTTGGAGAAGTTGAAATTGTATTACAATGCTATAAGACACAATGGTTGAAGCAGAGGTAGGTCATCAACAAAGTTAAGCAGGATGATCTATGTAACAACACAAATTAAGTTTATTCAGCAAGCTAAATCTTTCTGGTAATTGAAAACAATAGCTGGGAAATGTAATGGCAGATTATTCGAATTCGAAACCAATAAACTGAGGGGTTTTTTTATTCCCATATAGGTACTGTGAAGTCCATGAAATTTAGACCAGTAACTAGGATAGGAGTCAAATATTTATCTAAGTGAGGATGAGAATAATTCTTCTAGGGTCCTTCCTCGAAACTCGAAAGATGTCAAATACCTTGAAAGAGTATGATGAAGCAAATGAGAATTGTGATGACCATAGCATAACGGCTAGTGCTTGATGATGATGCCTTTGCTTCCTTCATCCTCTTCATTGTTTTAATCCGTTTCATCCTAGCACGTTTTCTCATGGCAAGTTCAGCAATCTCCCTCACCAACTTCTGGTCTGCAGCATCCAACATCGGACCTTTTGGAGGCCGTGGTGGTTTGGGAGGTTTCCTAGTGTTTGTCTTCTTGCACTTCACTTCCCTTATGTTCTTCTCCGCCAACGCCAAGGGTTCATGATTCTCTTCTCCTTCCGAATTCTTGTCCGTCAAGAATTCTGCATTCTCATCGGGCACTGCACCAAAACTCGAAGTACTACCACACGAATTTATGCCACTTTCACCCTTGACTATTCTATTGAAGCTCCAAAGATCACTCCAAACTCCACTGAGAGTTCTCTTTGTTTGTAAACTTTGTGAAACATCATCTTTTGTTCTTTCATCTTCACTGGTAGTCCCACCACGTTCAAGATCTATTTCAACATCTCTTTCCCTTGTAAGCAAGGGATCCATACAAAATAAACCTTTCATTCCGCCTTAACCTAAGATAATTATGTTCCCAATTACTGCTAAACATATATTCGGTCACTGGCTACATGAATTAACCCCTTCACTTAAAACAAATATCATACAGGGTGAGTCCAGCTAAAGTTTGAAACTTTCAATCCTGCATTTTTCAATGAAATATCGAATATTAGTAGTGGAAAGTATATGAAAAAACAAAGGTATATCCAAATGCTACTCGAAGGACAAAAAGATTGCAAATTTAGGAATCATGAATGATTAAAGTTTCATCATACAATAACCAAAGGAACAAACTAAATGATTAAAGGATTTTAACAAATGATTATTCCTTTAACTCCCCCAGAAAACTCAGTAAAGCTTGAAATTTGATTTTTCTTTTTCTTATTTCTGGGTAATTTTCTAGGCCATCCGATGTGGATAGTCAACTCCCAGCCTCTACGTTATAATGCAGCTTCGTAAATAGATAAACAACAACAACAACAAAACTCAATTCCCATATACAATGGGGTAAGGAGGAGGTAGGGTAGTAGGCTGCCCCCAACGCTAGGTTGAGAGTAACTTCCGTGGAAGACCTCCGGCAGTCAGAAAATTAAAAATATAGATAAAATGCAATGTATGAATAAATAAATATATAAATACATAGTTGAACAGTATTTATATGCAGACATTAATATCATTAATATCATATGCGCGTTTGTACTTGGGCAGTAATCCCTGCAAATAAATTCATACGAAAAAATCTCTACATATAGACAGAAACGTAAGACCCGACTAAATTTAAATCGAAGTAAACCCAGATATTTACACCCTTTAAGAAAATTAGCCGCCGACAATTTGGTAGGAAAATCAGAGGAGAAAATGGAATGTACCTTGAAGCTAAATCCGATGTCTGAAAGGACCGTAAACTGAGAATCCTTCCTTGATTTCGTCAAACCTTATCTCTCTATTCGCACGGTTAACTAATTACTTCTTTAAAAGAAAGTGGTCCTTATATTTCGAAAAGAAGGAATTTTTGTAAACATGGTAAACCAATTAAATTGAAACAATCAAAACCAGAAAAACAAAGGTAACAGTTGTTGGTTTTGTCTTTGTATGCCGATTTGCGAAAACAAGACGTATGTGTATGAACGTGTCGGGTACAACGGGGCTGGTAATGGGCAGTTGGCGGTGGAATATGTAACTATCCTCTGTTTTTCTATATGACTGTTCAAAAGATAAATATTATTTTTTTTTATTAAGAAATTCAATTCTTAGAATTAATGATCCCGAGATCCATGGCATCTGTTCATCCATTACTTTGTTAATTTGTGTATCCATCCGTTCAGCACAAAATGGATACTCTCTAGTTATAAATTCATGGCATCTGTTTACAAAATATTTCCAAGGCTTAAGTGGGCTCCTACTAACTGATTTGCATGAGCCACCCCATATACAATATGCACTATTGCTATAAATGATACAATACTTATTATAAAGGGTAAAGTATAGTAATGGTTACTGAACTTTTTTGATGCTTGTATTTAGGTCCCCCAACTTTTATTACTTGCAATACAGTCCTCCAATATTTAATTCGTTTGCAATATAATCCCCGACGTAACTGACCGTTTGACGTCGTTACACTACCGTTAGAAGAAGATGATGTGGCAATCCTCCAACATTTAGTCCGTTTGCAATATAGTCACTGAACTTTTCAGGCATTGTATTTAGGTCCCCCAACTTTTAAAACTTACAACACATACCTCAATTTCATTTTAAACCCCAAATTCTAAAATAATTCAATTAAATTTTAAACCCTAAATTCTAAAATACTTCAATTTAGGTTTTAGAATGTAATTAAAGTATTTTTGAATTTGTGGTTTAGAAAGTAATTGAAGTGTTTTGAAATTTTGAACATGAATTTGCTATTTGACATTGTTCACTTTAATATAAATTTTGAGCTTTGTTGCATGCACTTTCAACGGTTGTCGCACTTTGAATATGAAAAGTGCATATTTCACGTTTATTGCATAAACCGTTGAAGTTAAAGTAATAAGACCAATTTGTCTTGTTTGCAACTGCCGCACTTTGGTTTGACAATCTAGTAGGTTTGGATGGAACTTGAGCATGCACATCTAGCGTGTAACACCCATATACGTACATACGTTACTTTATACATATACAAATGTCACATTACTTTAAAAACAATTTACTAATTTTGTAAAATCTTTAAAATTTTGTTACAACTTAATTTCCATATAAATAAACATAATAATTAAGTTTTCATTAAAAGCACATCACAAAATGTTATATTAAGTTTAATTACACGCCAATAAGTTTTACAAAAGGATCACTACCGTCCTATTGTTACTGCTGAGTCAACCTTGGTGAATGATATCAGCTGCTACGGCTTCACCCCCTTACTTGGTTAATTCTTCTGCTACCTACGCCTGGAAATACACACGTTAAGTATGTCTTACTGAGTCATAATGAAATAAATAACCTTTGTATATCCATACATATTATATTTCCCATTTGTCATAATCATTTGTCATGATTCTTTTCTTTTCGTTTGTAACATTCATTTATGCTTATAATACACCATTATATACTTTAAGATATAAAATCTTTTCTGTTGAATATGCACCCATATGCATTTCAACACTAGTATAATTTTCTGTTGATCATGTACCTATATACATTTTCAACCATAGTATACTTTTCTGTTGATAATGTACCCATATACATTTCAACTTTAGCATACTCTTCTGTTGATAATGCACTCATATGCATTTCAACTCTAGCATACTTTTCCCACGAACCCATAAATTCAATCACACATGCCCTAAGCATATCCTCTAGAATCTGAATAACTATTTTTGACTGCCCATCTGTCTGAGGATGAAAAGTGGTACTAAAATTCAATTAAGTACCCAATGCCTCATACATGGACTTCCAGAATCTTGAAGTAAACTTGGGATTTCGACCGGATATTATAGATATCGATACTCCGTGCAGACTGACTATCTCTTTTATATACAGCTCCGCAAACTTATTCATCGAATAGTCTACTCGCACTGGAATAAAATGAGTTGTCTTGGTCAGCCTGTCCACTATAACCCATATCGAATCCTTTTTACTTGGTGACAATGGTAATCCAGAAACAAAATCCATTGTTACCCGTTCCTACTTCCACTCAGGAATAGATATAGGTTGCAGTAATCCGAATGGCACCTGATGTTCAACTTTCACTTGCTGACATGATAAACATTTAACTATAAATTTTATTACTGCTCTTTTCATTCCAGGCCACCAATAACGACTCTTCAAGTCTTGATACATCTTATTTCCGCCTGGATGCATAGTCAAAGGAATATAATGAGCTTCGTAAAGAATATCTCTCCTCATATCATCATCATCGGGAATATAAAGCCTTCCCCGGTAATATAGGCATCCATCATCTTTTCTTTCAAAATATTTGTTCTCTTCTTTTTCAATTAACGCCAATTTCATTAAACACTTTTTATCACTCCCTTGTAGTTCTTTTACTTGGTCCAACAACATCGGTTTTAACTTTAATTCAGTAATCACAACACCATCTCCATCCACAAACATAAATGCGTCTAAAGCCCTTAAAGCTACAAAAGTTTTTCGACTGAGTGCATCATCTACTATATTAGCTTTTCCCGGATGATACTCGATAATCAAATCATAATCTTTCAAAAGCTCCATCCATATTCTTTGCCTTAAATTGAGCTCTTTTTGAGTTAGAGAATATTTTAAACTTTTATGATCAGTATACACACGGCAACGCTCACCGTACAAATAATGGCACCAGATTTTTAAAGCAAAAACCATTGCAACTAATTCTAAATCATGCGTCCAGTAATTTCGCTTGTGATTCTTCAATTGTTGAGGCTTAAGCCACGACCTTGCCTTCTTACATCAACACACAACCAACCAATTATGGGATACATCACTATACACGACATATTCTTTACCCGACTCAGGTTGCACAAGCATTGGAGCCTTCGTTAAAATTCTCTTTAACATCTCAAAACTTTCTTGGCACTTTCCTGTCCACACAAACGCACATCGTTTCGCAAAAGCTTAGTTATCGGCAGGGATAACATGGAAAAATTCTTCACAGATCGTTTATAATAACCCGTAAACCCCAAGAAACTCTGAACTTCCATAATATTCTTTGGAGATTGCCAGTCTACTATAGCTTGAACCTTCTTGGTGTCCACTCTAATGCCTTCTGCCGATACTATATAACCAAGAAAGGAAATCTTGGACAACAAAATTTTGCATTTGGACAATTTAACATATAACTTCTTGTCACGAAGTATCTGAAGGACCACTCGAAGCTGAGTATCATGATCCTCCTTTGACTTTGAATAAACCAGGATATCATCTATAAACACTACTACGAACTGATCCAAGTATGGTTGAAAAACTCGTTTCATCAAATCCATGAATGTCACTGGTGCATTAGTCAATCCAAATGGCATCACTACAAATTCATAATGCCCATACCGAGTATGAAAAGCTATCTTTGAAATATCATCTTCCTTGATCTTCAACTGATGATACCCCGACCTTAAGTCTATCTTAGAAAACACCGATGCTCCTTTCTATTGGTCAAATAAATCATCAATCCTTGGAAGAGGATATTTGTTTTTTATGTTGGCCTTATTCAACTGACGGTAATCGATACATAATCACATAGTCCCGTATTTCTTTTCCACAAATAAAACAGGTGTTCCACAAGGGGAAACACTTGGTCTTATAAACCCCTTATCGAGTAATTCTTATAATTAGGCTTTTAATTCTCGAAGTTCAGTAGGAGTCATTCTATTTGGAGCCATGGACACTGGTTCAGTACCCGGATAAATCTCAATTCTGAATTCTACCTCCCGATCTGGAGGCAGCCTCGGTAGTTCCTCAGGAAATACATGAGGAAATTCTCGAACGATGGGAATATCATTTACTTTTGCTTCTGGAACTCGAGTGTCTATCACATTGGCAAGAAAAGTTATACATCCTTTCGACATCATCTTTTTTGCGGTCATAGCTGATATCACATTCGAGAAGGATTTCAATATTTTGTTGAGTACTACAATTTCTAAACCTTCGGCATTCTTTTAAAACAATCGTT